GCGTTCACCCTAGTACCGATGGCCTCCAACCTAATAGTGATGGCCTCTAACCTGCTAGCTCGGCACCCGGTTCACCGCGTTCACCCGGTTCCTCAGGCTCGAGCTCCGATCTCAGTGTCGTAGTGCACAAAGGCTTGCCGAATGAAGCGCTTCCGGTTGGCGGCGACGGCGCCGAGGGCCCCCAACAAAAAGCCTTGTCGAAAACAAGAAAAAGCAAACAGAACGAAGTAGAAAAAGCAAACAGGGCCTTGTAGAAAGGCCTTGCAAAAAGTAGAAAAAGAAACATCAAAAAGAGACGAATAAAAGGCCTATATATATAAGAATTATAAGAGTCTTGGTTGCTAACATTGGATGAACATATCATAACTTTAGCTCCAGAAATTGATGGGCCACATCAAACATCACACAGCTCAGGTGAAAGCTGGTCGGTCACAAACAACCACAGCCTGGCCTGGGCTTTAAAAACACAAACAAACAACTGACACTCAAAGGTCCAGGGCTTTGAGGATCTTCCTCGTATCTCGCGTGAAGGGTGCAGCAAATTTCGAATGCATTTAAGGACAGTTCAAGGAAAAGTGGTTGAAAATAAAAGGAAATAAAAAGAAAAAGTTGTTCGGCGGCCGGATCACAGTCTCCACAGCTGCCCTGATCCTCGGAGCCAGCTGTGACGTTTTACAAGCAATAGCAAAAGGTGCATAAGTAATTTAGTCAAAGTAAGTGAGCAGTGACATTCTTTAAATGCAAGGCGTCTTAGGTTCGTCCTTTCAAAAGGCTAGCAGCTTATTCTGCTCACCTTCCAGTCGGATCTCGCCAAGACTCAATGTCATTTGCAGCGCAGTCCCCGACCACCACCTCTCCGTTCTCCATGACCTCAATCGAGAGGCTCTGTTCACCAAGCCATTGTTTCTAGCTTTAGCATGGCTTGCCTGAGGCTTACCTTGGACTTGCCTGCTTGTCGGTTCACACTGTGTAGCTTGACAGCAAATCTGATTCGAACCGCGCCCAAAAAGGACATCTCTCTTTCGGTGTGACGTTGACGTGAGAAATCGCGATGTGCCTCCTTGATTCGCTTCCAACTCTTTGGCTTGGTGGCAGTGCAATCCCAACCGGGCTTTTCTTTGTCGACATACATTACCTCAGGGCGGGCTGTCGAGTCCCACAAACCACACTCACCGGTTCAAGGGATTCTTCGACTCAAAGGCAAGCAGCAGCAACTCTGCCGCAGCTAAGCCAAAAAAAAACATTGGAGGCCATGGCTATTAGGTTGGAGGCCGTCGCTACTAGAAACAAAGAAGAACAACCGCACTATGAAGATCGCACGAGAACGACTGCACACCGTTGACAATGGCCCTGGTGCCCAGAACGGGCACCCGCAGAAGAGAACATGCGGGGAAGAGACATTGTCATTTAAGAGATGTTAATAGTAAATTAAGAGCAACAAAAATATATACACGTCACAAAAAGAGGTATAAAAAGAATGTCTAAAGAAACACATTTAAAAAAAGGCATCAAAACTAAAAAATATCACAAAAAAAGTAAACGTCAAAAAGCCGGTCTCAAAAAAAATAAGAGCAACAGTAATTTAGCGGCTTCCGAAGTGCAAATGCTTCTGCTTCGTCGCTTTCAGTTGGATTCCATGTCGTATCCACAAACTTCTCTCCGCTGCCTCGGCATCAATCGGCCTCTCCAAGGGAGCCCCTAGTATCGTCCTTGCTCCTAGCAATGGCCTCCAACCTACTTGCAAAATGTGATGAAAGACCTGAGGGGTTCGAGAGACTTGGAAACCGGAAACCTGCACTTCCAAAGCGCAGCAAGGCACTCGTGCACTGGTCGATGATCGCCTGGTCTCAGCCCCCAGTTCTGTGGCCGAAGCTGTGCTAGATTGAAATCCCTATAAAGCGGTCCGGTGGGAGGGTGTCTTCTTCTGAACCAATGCAACAAACATTCCACACAATCAACACATTGGTGACCATGAGTCGCGCTCCTGGACTTCTTTTCGGCAATTCTCTCGCGCACGTTGCCAGGAGGATACAGCGCTCAAGGTGGGTGGATTTTGAGCATGTTCCTTGACTGCATCCACCAAGCCATCTCCCATTTCTCCCAAGACCTGGCACAAACACTGAAAAACTCAAAGAGTGCGTCAACTAGAAAAGCTCTGGCTCCAAGAGGGTTCAGGAATGCCTTCTCTTCCAGGGCAGAGAGTTTTGCATTCGGAAGTTCGGCTGCTGAGTCGTCATAGCTCATCTTGCGGACCTCTCTTGGAATCAATGCAACGTGAAGATACACGCAGTGGGTGCCTAGGGCACTCCTAGAGAAGCTGTGTAGATGTTCCTAGTGGGTGCCTATAGTGTCCACCGAAAAATCCAAGACCTTCAGCTGCAGCTTCGACCAAGACAGTTTCTCAACACTTTGCCCTGGCACCAAGTGACATTCAGATGGAAAAGAAGGCCATCAATGCCGGTCTTCGTGGCCAACTCCTTTTCAAACGGATTGTCCTCTGGTGCAACCTCAAGATCTTGCGCAGGTACCTAGACTCAGCATCCGAGGCGTTTCAGATACAAAAACATGACCAATGTCACAAGAGCCAGCAACTGAAAGTGGAAGAATTATCTTTTCCCGGCAAAACTTCAACCAGAATCACAGGCCTTGCCCTGTTTCACCTTTCCCACCGCTGCCCGCAACTCCTCAACACCTGCCAGAATCCGGGGAGATGTTGATTCAAAAAGGTTCTCTATGGCCTCCAACCTAAGAGCGATGGGTGCCTGCTGCGCTCCCAATTCCATTCAGCTCCGCAGCTAATTCTTTCAACGGCACCTCGCCATCCTGCACGCTCGCTCCAAGCTACTCTCACTCTCACTCACTCTCTCTCTCTCTCTCTCACCGTTTTGGGCCCAGCTAGGCCTGCTCACAGTAGTTGATTTGTTTTTTTCTTTGGAAATAGATGGCAATCCCATTTCGAGGCTTTTTTGAACGAGAATGCCAATGGTGAAGCGTAGTATGTCGGGTCGGCCAGGTCTAGGCGCATGGGAGAGGGATTGGAGTCTTATTTTTCGCCGCAATCCCGTTTCGAAGGGCTTCTGAAGAATGCCAACGGTGAAGCGTGGTGGGGGAGGTCTGGTCGATCCCCTGCATTCCATAGGGCTTCCTTCAGTGGGCATGGCAAGGTGAGGCAGCTGGTTGCATGTTTGGGCGCGTGGGACAGGGATTGTCTCGCTTGTTAATCGACTCCAAAGGTGATGCTTTGAGCCGCTAGGCCTGCTCTGGGTGGTCAATTTTTGTGTTTTTCGTTTGGATGTACCTGGTGCAATCCCATTTCGAGGGTTGCTGTCCCACTGATGTGGCGCTCGGATGTGGAGGGCTAGGTTAGGATTAGGCTGGTGATGGTTCACGAATAAGTTCAGAAGTTTTCACAAGCGATCGTGACACTTGGAACTGGTTCGCCAGCTGCAAATTTTCTTCAATAGGCCGAAATGCATGCAAACGCAACGTTCCTACAAGGACCGTCCTCTTGGCCCAGTTCTTTCAGACATCCTTCGAAGCTTTCCACTGAAGCAGCTCGACACATACCCACTGTAAGCATAGCTGAAACCCATTCGGCCTCAGAGAACCATTTAAGACAAAGGTCGTCAGACATGATTCGAAAACAAAACGAGGTTCAATGAAGTTTGGCTTTGAAGCTGACGAGAACCTTTGGTGACCCCAGCCTTGGATACAGGGGTCTCGCCGTTGATCTCGCCCACATCCTGGTTCAAACACATTCCACACCTCCAACACTTCAAGACCAGCTACCAATTGCATTTTCCCCGTCATCCCCTTCCTCACGTCGGTGTCATCATGGTCATCATCATCACCACCATCACCATCATCATGGTCATGTCATCATGTTATCATGCCGTCACGCCACCACCATCACCCTCATCACGTTGTGTGTAGCTATCTGCGCATGTCAATGATGTAGGTGTGCATAGATGTAAGCACGATAGCCCACATCTACATGTCGATGCACATCTAGGTGAAAGTGTATGATGTACAAATGCTGGAAGATAAGTTTGGGTGTAAACATGTAGGTGTACAGACGTGGGCCTATAGAGGCTTTTTCGTTGCATTAAACAAACTCTACTTTCGACATTTGAGAAGGTCTTCCTTTTTTGAGGCGGCCGGTGGCCCGGCACTACACGAGGCATGCGGTTTGGTGAGGCGAGGCTTCACTGGAAAGTGGTTTGCTGCGGCTGCGCGCTTTTGTGAATACGTAAGCAAAGCAGGTTTGAAGGCCCGCGCTGGCATCAATGACCCTGGCCGCCAGGACTTCGTAGGGCTCCAGAAAATAGAAACCGACTTGGCAAAAGCGCGGATCAACTTTCCCAATTGATCGTCAGACGATGCGCTCACGTCCCAGGAGCACCCTGAAAGAAAGGGACGCGCGACTGTAAGAGACAACAGAAGTCATGCCCGGCCACAGGGTTGCACACTCGATGTGGGACGGGCCTCAGGTGTGGTTTGGGCGCCTTGGTCTTTGTACTTGCCCAGTTCTCAGGTTCCCCTCAAAGTTTGGATGCATGGTGTAGTTTTTGTCCTGGTGAGGTTGGCGACGGCATCAAGAAGAAGGGTTGCCTTAACCCTGGTTCCATTCGGTGCACGCACTGACATCTCCATCGGATTCTGGCCTGTGCTCAGGGCCACGTTCCTCCTTGCAAAAGCAGGATCAAGAGCCGGCGAATTGCCTTGGCTGCCGTAGCAGGGGTCGGCCAGGCCAAACCAGTTGGTGGAGTTGCCGCCGCATCAAGACTTTCCAGGCCACCAGCACCCGCATCCATCATCGGCTTTGAACCACCCACCCGCAAAGCAGCTAGCGCCGCAGCCATCTAGCTTTGGGCTTGGAGGTTGCGGTGCAAGACCTTCAAAACCTGGAGGAAGCTGTGGCCGCCAAAGTGTCGAAGCCGCCGTGGCCTCAGAAAAAGACTCAGGGGCTTCAAGTGTCAAAAATGCAGTGCAAGGCAGTCCAGGAACCAGAGTTCCGCTGGTACCCAAACCTTCCAAGACACCAAAGTGTCACGCACAACCTTGAAGCTTGAATCAAATGTATTCAAAAAAACATCACATGCTTTCCACATGTTCCAAGCACATATAGATTTTGTCAAGTCCTAATGTGCAATGTCTTGCTTCAACTTGCCCCTCTGTTTTGCCCCTTAATACTCTAATAATCTAACAGTCAATACTCTTGCCCCTAATGCTGATTGCATGTTCATTCCAATTGTTGCTCAGTCTTTGGTCCTCTGGATCCAAGGTGACGTTGAAATCAGTAGGAGGGATGACCACCTGTGGATGGCTCAGGCACAAAACCTGTCTTTTGGACGGAATGATTATGATTAAGCAAAATATTGCGTTACCCGCCGGCCTGATTACCACCGCCTCCGCTGTTGGGATCATCATCATCATCGTCATCTTCTTCCTCATCATCACCGCCCAGGCCTCAAACGAGTATTGCTGAACTTCAAGCCAAGTGACTGACAACAAAAAATGGCCCGCGCAGCATCACCCAACATCAATTGAGAGATATTGGCACATTGGCGGCCGGGAGATTCCCAGCACCACCAATGATGTTGATGAATTTAGACAAGTCAGAAATTGCATAAAGCTGCGGAAAGGCAGAAGGCTGTTGAAGGCTTACATCATCCGTACTCTTGGAGGGTTCCAAAGTGACATCTGGAGCAACAACTTGCTCGCGACAGCCTTCTTTCTCTTCGATTCTCCCTTTTAGGTGATAGCGATGTCCTTTGTTCCTAGTAGCTTCTTGTTACTAGTAGTAAGACCAGGAGCTACTAGTAGCGTCCTTGCTCCTAGTAGCAATGCCCTTTGTTACTAGTAGCTTCTTGCTGCTACTGTTGTCCTGCTTCCCTCACTTTTAGGGCTTGCAAGGCACCCAGCACAGCTTGCAGACCAAAGCCATCTCCTGAAATACAGGGCACGGGCACTCCCATCTCGAAGCTGAAAAGCACTGTTTTCGAGTCTTCGAGGTCAATCGTTTATCCACCAAAAGTCTGTTCTGGGCAACCTCGAATCAATTCCCTCAGTGTGTCTTTCCGCAGATTCGCTACTTTTTGTAAAATAGGATTGCATGGCATTGTCACGCATGAGGTATGCATCATTGCGAAGAGATGTGGGTGTCTCTAAAGACTGCTTTTGCCTCGGGTCTGTGGAAGTAATATGTCTCTGTATCCGGAGACTAATTATGTCAGCTTGTGTGCTCTGAGGCTTCCTTGCAGGCGTTTGCACCCGCTTTGCCTTTGTGATGTGGGATACCGTCGTGTCCATTCTGCGTCAGGCGAATGAAAGCCAGAAAACTTCAGAAAAAAAGAATGTCTCTTGCTTCCAGGCGTCCAAGAAGCTTCTTGCTAGATCCCGAGGCATCAGTACCAAAAACATAGTCCAGGAACTCATCCGAAGTGAGCTTGCCATTTCCTCGGCGGGTGAGCTTAGAACATGTCTTACGAAAACACCACCGCGTCCAGCGCCGCCATGCGCCGCCATGCGTCCATCCTTGTCCAGCGCATTGAACAACCTGCGAAGGTGCGACCGGGTGCGAGGTCCAAAGGAAAAAAGGAAAACCAAAAGCGGCCTCCAACCTGAAGAAAGGTCCGGTCTACAGAAAAGGAAAGGCATCAATTTGGCCAAAGCAGCTCTTGGCATTCCTCATCGGAAAGTCCCCCACCACCTTCTCCGAGCTTTCCCAAGACAGACTGCAATTCCTGAAAACATTGTGAGCTCTCAGAACAGCATTGAAAGCTCTCAGAAAACGGACTGCCTACTTTGCCCGTTTGATTGGCGGAAAGCAAGCAAAGCACAAGCGAGGCTCTTCCAGCGAAAGCTTTCCATCTCCATTCTTGTCAAAGCGCTTGAATGTTGCCTGGTGTGCCGCACATTTGCCTAAAAAATCTACAAGTAGTTACTCTACAGAGTCACGTTCTATTTTCTGAAAAAAAAATGAAGAACAAAAAGCCAGCAACGAGAGGTTGTTTGCATCGTTCGCCTTGAGCTCGTTGACACCATCAACATCCAGGTTGAGGCTCTTCAAAGACGAAGGATCGAAGTGCCAGCGCCCTTTTGGAAAGCGCACGAACAACCTGTGCCCTGTTAAGCCATCTTCCTCGTCCTCAGTCGGGCCAAGTGAAACCCATCGAAACTGTTCCGTCTTGAGTCATCTAGAGCCACAGTCTTGTCAAATCTTGTCAGGCAACCTCTCCGTACTTGATGCCCATGACCTGGCCAATGTGCCCTTCTGGGATGTCGTCGTCCGCTTTAATCCATTGCACCTTACGGTCAACTTCCGCCACAGATCTACTGAAACCTGTCGACTGCCCCCCCTGTTGCGCAGTGATGCCAAGGCACACGATCCGCTCGTTGAAAGGGAAGCTTTTGGAGTTCATGTGGTTTCATGCTCCATGTTCCTCCAAAACCACATATACTTGCTTGAACATGATTGAACATGGTTTTGCTTGAGAGGTTAGTGCATAGTTAGAATTCTCTGGGTGAAACTGTCAGGCTGCCTTGACGCAATACGCAAACAAGAAGGGCATTGACGCCAACCAGGGCCCCACGCGATGCGCACGTCTGATTGGAAGACACAATGTCCAAAGTGTCTCAAAAGGCATGGTGATTTTGGGAAGGTACTGTTGACCTGTCACTTTGATTTTCTATGGGCAAGGCCAAACAAAAGCCTTGTGGGTTGCCAGGGTCACTGGGGGCAAGAAGTTCATTTTGAGGAGGAGCATATCTTTTCACTTCAACCGAGCAAACGTCCAACCTCCTTTCACCAATCTGACATCATCTTGGGTCTCGGGGGCATGCAGCATTTTGAGCAGGAGTTGTCTGAAGCCTGCGTGCTGGAAACTGTTGCCTGGTTGGCAAACTGCTACCCTTGAGGTCTTTCACAAACTGCAGTTTACCGCAGTTGATGCAACGGGAACTGAGTCCACACCCAGAAAACAGCCTGACAGGATGTAGTAGGCACAACGATACAGTAGATTAAGGCCGGACGAGCACTGCTGCAGCAATCGGCAGAAGTGTCAATGACAATGATAAACGATAACAGTGTTGGAAAGGAAGTCCGATGGAGGGTCATTTGGCTGAGAGAAATCCAAAGCAGAATTCAATACCCAAGGGTCGATTGCAAAAAGTTCGTCAACGCGCGTGGAAAAATACAGGCTCAAACGCAGCGAGAGAACAAGACACAAAGAAGAACAAGTTCGTAGTGTGCATGTGAAAACAAGGCTATCGCAAACACTGCCATTGAAGCTGCACTCCGGAGGTCCCGAAATTGTGGTTTCGCGCGGGGCCCCTGCTAGCGTCGCTGGTGCAAAAAAGGTAGCCAGTTGACTAGTCCACTAAATCAATGCAGAACATCGGATCACAATGTGTGCCTCGTGGCCATTGGACCCGAACATAATTCTCCTCGTCTTTCATCCTCACCACTTCTCCGATGTGTCCTCAATCGGAGCAAGAAAAGGAAAGCAGCCGACATGCCTGTCGCATTGGTTTTGGGTTCAATTCACACCAAACACTCTGGCCTCTGGGGATGTCATTGTCACATTTATCCCAATAAACGAACTCCCCAGGCTGAACTTGATGTAGTCGGAGCTCGTTGGATTTGAAGTTGTACTGTCCTGGACTTGGGCGAGAGCGGTTGAATGCGAGGTCTATCAATAAGAGCGATGGCCTCCACCCTTAGTAGCGATGGCCTCCACCCTTAGTAGCGATGGCCTCCACCCTATATAATACCGATAACCTCCACCCCAATAGCGATGGCCTCCAACCTAAATGTCAAAGACCTTTAGAAAGTGCACTGGTCTGAAAGTCTGAAATGTGCAGCGCTTCCGACGTCACTTCCTTGCCTTGCCCACGAACATTCCCTTTCAATCCTTTGGACAGACTGCCCGGTCCTTTAGGAAACCTAACTTTGAGCCTGCCACTGTCTTTTTTCAAGCCGGTGACAATGCCGACATCGCCTTTCTTGACATCCTAGAAGGACAGCCGTGCCATCGCCGGATGCAAACAATTGGAAGGCCCTGCCTCATCGTGTGAACTCCACTTCACGAAGCAACCATACTGCATCTCGTTCAAAAAGAGCTCCTAGGAGCAAAGCTCTGCATGTCTGGTTCAAACCGCTACAAGGGTGGAGGCCATTGTTAGTAGGTTGGAGGCCATCGCTCTTAGGATGGAGACCATCGATCATTGGAGATGCTGAGGTCCTCTGGCTTAAATCTCCATCTCCCCTTGCAGAATTGCACCTGCCAATAACTGGCTTTGTGACACCACTTGAAGTTAAAGGGCAAACACGACGGGGTTCCGCTGATAGTTCAACACCTTGCTTACTTCTCCAATTAGTAGCGTCCTTGCTCCGTTCGTAGCGATGCCCTTTGCTCCTAGTAGCTTCTTGTTCCTAGTAGCAAGGCCAGGAGCCCCGAACGTAGTGTCCTTGTTGTCAACGAAACGAGAAATGTCAAGCAGACAATGCCGTGTCAGCTCCACCAGAATCCTCCCTTCATCATTCAGATCTCCAACAACCCTTCCGATCTCACCTTGCCAAGCTGTCACCATGTGGCTGCGTGCAAACACCTCTGAATTACCGCTCAAATGTAATCCAATCCTCCCCCCTCATGTCGATTTGCACAACGCTGTACCAAGTGCGGGAGCCACCAGTATCCTGCTACTTCCTACTTCCAACATAAATTCGATGCCGGCCTTTGGGAATATCATCGTCTGAGCCGGTCCTCAAGCGATGAAGGAAGCTTCCCTCGAGCGACCCACATTGCCATACATGTCCCATGTATCTCAAGGGGGCAACAGGACCAGTCAACGCTATTAGGTGGCTTTCTATGATCTTTGTACTGTTCAAGGATGGTGGACCATGTCAAGTCTGCTGAATGAAGATAACGCATGATGAAGAAACATGAACTTCAAGACTTTCAACCCAATGAAGGCTAGCCAGTCTTATTTAAGGTCTTGGCCGCAAAAAATAAACTTGCGGTGTATGCCACCCGTGTCATCAGATCGCCAAGTATCCACTGTACGTATGAGCGGGGTTGAACATGCGCTCGCACTAATTGATACGGCTTGAAGCGCCACGTGCCATTTGGGAATTTCACCTGGTGGCAGACCAAGCTGTCTGTGCCAAAACATTCATTTTGCAAGAATAACTTGATGCCTCACGAAAAGAAAATTTGAGATCCTGCAGCTGCAAATAAGTACCCAAAGTTGCCATTCCACCAGAGTCTGCAAAAGTCTCATGAAATCGAATCAATTGCAGAGTGTGACGTGAGCTCCCTTTCATGGCCTGCACTCTGCCTTCATCGTTCAAGTCTTCCAAGATCACTCCTGTTTCAGAATGTCGCCTTTCTTTCCTTTTTCGTCCAACCTTTTTCTTATACTTTTTTCGTCCCTTCCCTTCCTTCTCTACTTTCTTTCTTTTCTTTCTTCCTTTTCGTGTTTTTTTTAACCTTTGGACCATGTTGCCAGGTTGCCCATGTGATTCTTCGGGATTTCATCATCTGCTCGGGTCCAAAAAGCAAACATCCCTGGCGCAGGGATCGGATGATGCTTCCAGTGTTTCGTTCTCTTCGGTTTGGCACCCAGTCGACTGTCGATGTTCAACCCAACCGGACGACCGACTGCCGACTGGCCAACCAGCTGGCCTGGTTGGAAGTCACATCGCATCAACTTGTTTGTATGGAAAAACCTCAGCTGACTGGGCCTGGAAACAGACAAAACACACAAGGTTCCAGGTTTCACAATAAATAGCAGCAGAAATAGTGTGCTTAAAAATTAGCAAATATTGACTAGTGTGTCCGAGAATCTTTTGCTTCCCTTGGATCATCACACACAATTTGCCATTGTCCAACTCGGTAATTTGTCCAATTGCAGCGGCGTCTATTTCATCATCCACGACATGCACGAAGGTCTTCTTTTGGAAATCGGAGACGTTCACCTTGACTGCGGACAGCTTCCAAGTGCCCTGCGACGAAGAGCACTGCATGCAAACGGCCAGAGTCCATTGAACGGAACTTCATTATCCCAAAAGAAGCACGACGCATTTGGGAAGAAAGGCCTTGCTATGGAAATTGCCTTGAGGGCTTACTATGGCACTCTACTGTTAGAAAATCAAATCAGGCCTTAGGGAAGCTCACCTTCCGCTTTTCATCATGAACTGAAAGAACTTCGCCCAGGTCGTCTCGTGGAATATCATCATCTTGCCCGCACCAATAGACAAATGTTCCCGGATCGATGTCGTCTACATCATCTGACTCTAAGGTCAAAGGCATTTCACAAAAGGGCAAGCCGGGCAAGCCAAGTCCTTTCAATCTGCGGATCTGGGCCAAAGGTCGCGGGTTTGGACGTGTTGGCAGTTCCTGTTCAGCAGACGTTAGCGCCTAAAGCTGTGACAGAACCAAAAACAGCAAACCGCTTGCGCACACTTTCTTGCAAGATGAGAAGTGATTGCTGCATTGACGTCTGTCTCTTCGGGCAATCTCTTCGACCCTTGTCTGCCCTGCGACGTTGGAGGAAATCAGTTGCTCTAAATTGGTGACGGTGAGTGTCGAATCAGGGCCGGCCCGAAGGCTCCTTCTTCTCTTCGTCTTTGAGGTGAACTCTTTGGTCGCACCATTTGTTCCTAGTAGCAATGCCCTTTGTTCCTAGTAGCGTCCTTGCTCCTAGTAGTAAGGCCAGGAGCTACTAATAGCGTCCTTGCTGGAAAGCGCAGGTTGGTGAAAGCTTTCGGCAAGTTGCTCATTGAAAGAGTGAGGCCTTACCGGACAACAGCCATTCTCCAAAGCTAGTGTTCAAGCCTGATGGTCACGGCTAAAATATCAAAACTAGACGACGAGTGGCCCGAAAGCATTTTTCATCACGTAGGAAGTCAGAGTGCGAGTTATCCGGTAAGTGTGCAGTGAGAAGTGTGAAGTCGAGTGAGTTGAGGTAGTGTGTGGGTTTCTGTGCGTGTGTCTATGTCCGTGTGGAAACGAGTCTGCGTATGTGTGTGAGGGAGTGTGTGGGTGTCTGTGTGTGATGCGGCCTCCCAAACCCCCCACCGGCGGCCAAGCGGTGACAGCCCAGCTCATCGTCGTGAGCATTTGGGCTGCTGGTAAGGGGACAATGGCAGCCAGCGTGCTGGCTTACCCACTTCAACTATGATGGCAGCCAGCGTGCTGGCTTTGCCATCTCAACAATGGCAGCCAG